TACTAACATGTACTATTATGATAGTTCAAATGACAGGAACAACCATCTGCATTGATTTACGATTATCTTTGTTGTAACTATAATTTGCCTTATAATTCGAAATAGAGACAAATCATTCAATTTGTTCTCTAACAGAGAAAGAGCCTACGTGTGTGACTTCATTCGCTTTTCACAGGACCCACGTTTATTGAATTTTTTTTTTTCTTTTTTTTTTTAAATGTTAAACTACTATACTACATTATTTACAGATATAACTGATATTATGAATATTTGATTATTCTTATAAGTTATTGGTATATTTTCAAAATGTACTTTTTACCTCGAGTTTTTTTTTTTATTCAACATTAATGTCCTTAAAACATCCGTTTGAATAATAAAATTTTGGACGGTATAATTTTAGTAAGGAATCAAAATGAATACGTTAATTAAAGTAAGATCAAGAAACATTGACCTGACTTTGAAATTTATCGACAAAAATTTGATTCATTGACCAGCAATGATTTTAATTATCAACTTATTTAGTTTTTTTTTAAAGCAGTACACTTGTGAGATTTCTGAACGATCAATTTCATTAATCTACACCGATGACGCACAATTTTCTTCTAATTGTACATGATTATGTACAAATAGTGAGAGGGGAAGGATGATAGATTGATATTTAAATCCAAGCATTTAAGTATGCAACCCACAGACTACAGATTGTGCTTCAACGATCTATACTGTATATTTAAAAAATCTAAATCTAATATATATACCAATAAGAACAATCAAATATCATAAACCAATTAATACACATACTCGTTATAGATAAATGTATTTAACGAATGGCAGTGAGTGACACAAATCGATTCGTTACGATATTTTCGTCCTAAGTATCCAGATTGTCAGATAACGGTTGTTCTCTATTCAATATTATTTGGCCGAGTATATTATTACCTGACCACGATGATACTCTTCCTTAGTAAATAACTTTTTTACCGTTAAATGTTAAGACTTTCCCATTCAATTAGATACTGCGTTTGACCATTAGGTCCTACCCTTTTTGCCTTGATCACAAACTTCTCACCTGCCGCTATCCTGTTGGCAGCTCCAAAGTAAACATTCACCGATGATTTAAGATCCTCCAATGATATGTCAGGAGAACTTTGCTTCATTGGCGAACATTTAGGAGATGAGGATGTGTTACACTTCTTCTGCGGCTGTGGATCTGGTGGTGGTAATTTTTCACTGCTCTGTCGTTGTCGTAATCTTCTTCCATTTAAGGCGTAATCAACACAATTTCCAATTTGACTACTGGCACTGCTCGAAGCACCACCACCATTGAACGAACTCCTTAAATTTCTCACAAATTCATTTTTAACTTCGCTATATCGTCCTGGCAAAATTGTAGCTGTTTTACTAGCTGTCTGTTGATATTGTTGTTGAAGTTGTTGCTGTTGTTGAGATGGTCTACCGCGTCGATGTGTTCTTTTTCGTTTCACTTGTCCATTTCTGTCTATGATAATGTCTTTCTCTGATAATTGACGTTTGGTTGGACGTACTACTGGTGGTTGTGCTATCACGGGTGTCAATGGAAGTGGCAACGTAATGGGTGGTTGATTTTGAGCTAATGGTGTACTCGTGCTTGCTTGATTAGAACTACAAGATGTACCCAACAGATCGCTCAAATTTAGAAACGGATGATTTTTCCCTTCAAAATCTTTCGGAGGTGGAATGAAGGAGTCTAATGTTCCTCTTGAACTCGTTTCATCGCCACTCGTATCTGCTGGGGTCGATGGTGGCAGAGAATGCATTAATTCCATTGAACTGGGCACGGACAATTCAGACATAACCGCAGTAGTAGCTGGTGGTGTTGGTGGACCAGATACAGAAGTTGGAGGTGTTGGTGGTAAATCCGATTGTTCTGAATTTCGAGGTTTACTCTAAATAGAGAGAAAGATAAGTAAGAGAATAACATAAATATTACTAGAAGATTGTATTTGTTATGTAATTATATTGGTGTAATATATTCAATATACTTGTTAACATTAAACAATATATTATACAACATACTGATATAATTATTTATTAATATGAAAATAATGATCATGTAATTTACCTTGGCAATGGCATTTTTTAATAGCTTCCTAGCTTTCCTATATCTGGCTTCTCTTACGCCTTGTGATTTTCCTAATGAACCATCTGCACCTTTTTCCCTTTTTTTATGCTTACGGAACATCCTTTCTCGAGAACTACCCAGTACCATTAATCTTCTTCTTCTCTGTAAACTTAACTTTGGAAATGGGAAAGTCTTTTTTACAAAGCCACCTCCGCTATATCTGTAAAATTTTTATATTTTTATATAATATATATATATTATATATATATACGCTTTTATATATATTGTTTTTATTATTCTCTTTCTCTTTCTTTTAGATTACTCTCTCACTTTTATATTACTCTCACTTTTCTACGAAAAATTTGTCAAACATAACCTATAATTTTAAACAGATAGCATCCTTTTACCGCCAACAACACATGAAGTATACAGTTGTGTCTATTACTTCCCTAGATGAGTCATCCATCCATGTTACTACTAATTGTATCCACATTGTTTGATTTTAGTAATATTATAAAAACTAGTGATTTAACACATGGCTAGGCCATTAACTATATACTCTTATATATAGATTTATATATATATATAATAATAATAATAATAATAATAATAATAATAATAATAATAATAATAATAATATTAATAATAATAATAATAATAATAATAAATATCTATTATCGTAAATACCTTTCTCTCAAAGATTGTGTGGATTGAGAAAGAGGATTTGGACTTGGACACGAACTCTGCTCTGCTTCGGAATTTTGATAAATGGTTCCTCTCATGACGACGTCCGACGGATTGACAGGTATTTCCAAATTTTCAGGTGAAACTTCTTTTAGTACATTCAATTGTTTTGTACTTTCAGATATAGATCTATAAAAATATGATATAATCGTATTATCATTTAACAAAGTATTTTATATATATATATATATATGAATAAATTGAAAATGATACAAACCCTGTAGTTGGAGATAAATATTGTAGTCTTTTATTAGCACCCCAGCATCTACGTAATACAGAATCATCTATAACTCCAGATGCTGGAAGATTGACAATAGGACATGGCGGTGGTAATCTAACTCTAAGACCCCATATTGTAGTACGTTTCTTAATTTCTCTTCCACACTTGAATCTATTTCTATTACTGGTTAATATGGCTAGTATTGAATCTCTGCGCACTTGAACACTAACATCTCGAATCTAACAAATATTTCTATGTTAGATTATTAATATTAATGATTACTAAAAAAAAAAAAAAGTATAGTAATTAATAGAAAGAGTTTCTTACGCGTGGTGGAAGTTGCAAAGAATTCCAATTGTCATTGGCATAAGGTATAATAACGGTATCTAAATCATAATACTTTTTTGCATTGTAAACAGTCAGATTGTACAACATCAGGTGCACCAAATCGGCCCATTTTAATTCCAAACGTCGTACAAATTCTTTACCGTAATTGCACATTGAACAAACAAAAACATAGAATCTGAAATATGAATAAGCATGTAATGATGTCAGAAAATAGAGATACCTTTGAATTTCATTCAAATATCTTACCTATCTCCACTGTAGAGAGGATACCTTAAGCAACTAACGCATTTTTCATGAAACCATTGTTTACAACGTGCGCACTGTAACATTTGCGTGTACCATTCTCCATTTAGACCACAATAACAATAAATTTGTTCTGCGTTAACACGATGATGTACATCCCAACTCAACATATCAGGCTAGAAAATATTATCAGTTAATAACAATTGATAAAAGATCTATCTACACATTAGATCTTATAACATGTATGGTATACTAACATCGTATGGTAATTTGGTCATATCATCTGGTGGTGGTTGAGGTTGATCTCTTCCACTACAAACTTTTCTAATATTTACTTTAACCATACATTTCTTAATCTCTCCAGACTCACGATTCCTCGTTTGATTATCCATACATCTTTTACACATCCAATTGATATCGCTTCTTGTTTCTTCTTTGGATACATGAGGCTAAAGATACAAGACAACGTTAGAAATAACAATGAAAACAACAAAATATGATAATTTACAATATGTACCTGATGGCAAAGTTGATGATAACCACGACCACATTTATCGCACACAATAATATCATTGTCTGTTTTAGGTTCGGATTTCTTACAAAGAACACACATAACATCCGACTCTGGCAAAGATAATTTCGTCAATTCTTTAACAGATGACCATGAAGATGTATTGTCCATAAATTTAACAAGACATCTTTCCCTAGCCAAATCCACCTATATATATATATAACGCATAGAAAATATTACAATATAGTTCGATAAGGAAATCATTTAAATAGAATAATTAACTTTCTTACCTCAACAACAGTACCCAAGTAAAATTTCCCATCCTTATGTTGAAGCAATACATCGTCTCCATGTGAGAAACCTAAACGCTGTTCCCTTGTTGTACTATCTGGCGCTGCCAGACTTTCCTCGAGTTCTGACATTTTCTTTCTTTTATTTCTAAAAACAATGAACAATATACCATAATCACATCAAACCAAATACTTCCAAAAGAAAAATAGAAACGAAAAGAAAATACAATTTGAGAACAAACAAAAAAAAAATGAAAAAAAGGAGGGAAAATGACACATATGAAAAAATTAATAAAGAAAAAAGAACAGATAGACGGACAGACAGACAGATGAGAGAAAAAACTGAATGGGGGGAGGGGGAAATTAGGATACATTTTGTGGAATAAGTCTAAAAGAATTTTCACACACCATTCTGCAGGAGGTAGGTTCTTCGTACCTCGGGGGGAAGCGGAGACGAGGCGAGGGGAAGGGGGAGCTTTCCTCTGGTTGAAAATTATTTGCAACGTTCCTGCCTCATTTTCTAACTTGCATCGGATAATTGAAAAGGTGGCTTCTCGGTCATAGAAAAAAAAACAACTCGTTTATAATTGGCGACCGAAACGCGAAACTAAACGAAACGAAACGAAACGAGACGAGACGAGACGAGACGAAACGAGACGGATACGGATAACGAATGCGATTACGATTACGAATACGATCACGATAGAACAAGAGGTGCAGCAGCAGCAGCAGCAGCAGTAGCAGCAGCAGTAGGAGTAGGAGGACGAGGAGGAGGAGAAGTTGGAGCAACGGCAAAGACGGTCAATCCGCCCCCGTCGAAAGAAATCACCACGACGACGAGCACGACCACGACGACGCTTACTCGCGCCTTACTCTCCCTTTCTTCCTTTCTGCTAGATTATGGTTTTCTTTTTGTTTCTTTTTTACTATTTTTTTTTCTTTTTCTCTCTTCCCTCTATCTATCCGTTCTATCGTTTTTCAATCTCCTCTTCTTCTCGTACTTTTGATGGTTCCCCTTTTAGGTACCTCTTTCGTTTCTACTACCCTTACTCACTTATCCTTCTCTCCCCTTTTCCTTTTTTTTCTTTTACATACGTCCATGTAGATGTAATTTTTGTTTTTGTTTTAAATAATTTTTTTTCTACTACTATTTATTTCTTTCCCCCTCCCAATTATCTTGCAATTTTAAATATAGTAAATTTTGTTCTCTTTTCTTCTTCTTCTTTTCCCTTTTTGTTTTCAATTCTTGTCTAATCCCACAAGCTCTTCCTTCTCAATCCTTTTTTCCTCTCTCGTATCCGTTTAATTACTTTATTTATTTATTCTTTCCTTTCGTTCGTTAATTCTTTCTTTTTTTTTTTCTATTTGTTTCTTTTTTTTTTCTTTTCTTTTCTCTTTTTTTTCTTTTCTATCTTCTTTCGTGGCAAATGAACGACGAGGACACGCACGGGCGGCACGCACGAGCGGCACGCACAGGCGGCACGCACAGGCGGCCCGTAATCACTTCGACACGAATTACAGTCGCGACAATACGCGACTTACGATGATGTCGTATCAGCACCATGTATTTTTCACGATCGGGTACATCACAACCGAGAATAAAACTCGGTACAACATTTCATTGTTTTACTTAAAAATTCGAACTAACTACGTTCGCCATCTTGAAAGAAACACTTGCTTGAAATACTACGATAGTCAAACGTTCACTACCGGCGTTGACATGGACGTCTCAGGACCGTATCTTTCAAAATAAATACCTTCTACTTTTTATAATATTTTTTTCTATTTTTTTAATGTATACTTTTTTAATCGTTTAATTATTATCTTATATTTTTTGAAATATTTTGTACAAATTTTCAGATTTAATATTTATATATATATAATTAATCTTTTTATATTTATATATATATATATATATGTATATACTTTTTATTGTTAATTGTTTTTTTCAGAAAGAATTAACTCCGATATGTTCACGACACATCACTGATACTCGTTCGTAACCGTATCACAATGCAGATATAACATAAACAATTAAGAATGTTGTTAATTATCATTTGAAATTAGTATGATTATTATTTTATATCAATTATATTTATTGTTAATATGAACATTTTTATATATTTTGTATAAATTTGTACGCATAGTTGTTTTATAGATCAGTTTAGTAGGTTCTCTCTACGTCAAGGTACAGTCACTTTCATAACTTTTTTAACGAATTTTTTCTCATGTTATTTTCATTAACCATAACTTCCGAAGAATAATATTTAATTCTTTAAACGATTATTATCAATTTATCATAATAATAAAAATAAAATAGTATTTGAAATATCATACATCATAATCTCGAATAAGTTTTTTATTGAGATTAACAGAAACTATTAGTAATATGTAAAGGGTAGTACAATGATGATGATAGGCCATATTAAAAATAAATAGAAGATATAATTTATTTTTCATAAAATTTGCATTAAATAGATACAAATACGTGAATATTTATATTATATACGTATATACAAAGATTGTTAAAGAATGTAGACGATATATAAATACATCGAAGAATTTGATGGGGGGAAACCAGAATCAACAAAAGTACGTGAGAAATTATATAGTATGTGCGTTGGCATTAATTCTAATGCGATAACGAGATGTGTATTCAATCTTGATTTGTTTAAAACATTTTTTTTTTCACAGCTGTATATCTCTCCATATAATCGTCGTACCCTTCAACATCAGCGAATTGTTTCATTTCGAAAAGATTTCCCGTTAACGCTAGCATCGATATATTAGACTCTTTTAATATTCTCGTAGGTATGGCGTTCAATTGTAAACAATTTTCTTCCAATCGTAGCGTCTTCAGACGTGAACATTCAGCTATTCTGTCTGATATAATCGAAATTTGATTTTGATTGAGATTTAACTCGGTTACAGAAAGTAAGGAAGCACCATCCGGTATAATCGTTAATTTGTTTTTCGATAAATCCAACACGTCGAGATGTTTTAAATCGCAAAACATTAATGGAAATTCGGTGATTCGATTATCGGAAAGATTAACTTGTTTTAAATGGGACAATTTCGAAAAGGAACGCGGGACCCTTTCGATGTAATTCGAGCTTGCATTGAAACATTCTAATTTGGACAAAACACCGATGATTTCTGGTAAACTTGTTAATCTGTTACGACTCAAATTGATCTGTTTCAATAAGGTAAACTCGCCTATTTCGTCGGGTAATCTAGTAAATTTATTTTCGGAGATATCCAAGTTACGTAGAAAATTGGCCAATGTACGTAGATTCGATGGAAATTCGTCCAGTTTCTTTTGAGACAATCTCAGTGCTCCCGTCTTCTTGGCGGTCTCGTAATGTTGTTGCAATCCAATATTGCCCATCTTCGAAATAAACCAATCGTTATTCTTAACGCGTTCGAATGACGCGCCCTTTTTAATCGTCTATATATATATATATCTTTTTCTATATGTGGTGAGAGAAGATTCGAAATAGGGGTTTGTTTAAAGGAAAACTTTCTATTCGGAGTGTATAACAGCCTACAGTATAGAACGGTTTAAAACTTGTTGAGAAGAATGTACGACGATCGCGCCACCGCCCTATCATCGCAAGCTTTTCGCGAGCGGCGTCTTTGAGGGTCGATTCGTCGAACGACTAACTCATATCAATACGACGGATAATTAAGTCCTTATCGAGATAAATATAATACGATTGTAAAGAAACTAAATTGATCAGAAACGATTCGTACCTCTGAATTTTGGCAAGTTCACGCTTTCTACGGTAAGAAAGTTAGAAGAATATAAAGTGGTACGTTCGTTGGTCAGTAAGCCGCGATGAACACTGGGTCAGCCATCTTGTCGGCGTAATTTATCCTTATTTAACACCAGATGACGCGCATTACCTCGAAGCCCCTTGAAAAATGGCCGACGTACGAAGATGTAGCGGTGCAGGTCGGATTTATATCAGACTGAAAACAGTGCAGCAGCCACTGCTTCGTAACTCACGACGCGGCTGTTTGCAAAAATGTTGAAACTCTGTGATATCGTTTAAAGCCGAAGGAACTATCGATTATTATGGCTTCCACACCGAAATCTGACAAACATGGAGGTAAGCACTTCTTCTATCAACCTTTTATACCTTCTCTTACGTACGAAACTCGCGTATGTATCTTTTGACAGACGAAGACGGCGCGACCCTCTACTTCCCCTCGACTCCCCTCCCATCCCCTTTAACTTAGCATCGAAGACTTTAAGTCATAAGATAACCGTTTTTCTTCGTCGTAATCCGAAATTCTTTTTAAATTCGAACGGTGACGCCCTTATAAGCCAACGCGCCGCTTTACCATTTATGCATACCGGCTTTTTTCATTTACTTTTTTTTTCAAACAATGTACTTTAAAGCCGCCTTAATGATTGGCATTTAAGAACGCCCATCTTTCCGGTCAAACGTCAAAAACATATGTTCTTTGCTTACAAGCTTATTTATTATTCAACGTATTCTTTGAAATATATTTTAATTGCATTCGTAATCTTGGCTGATACTAGAGTTTAATAATTTTCAAGGTGGATCCTTCTTAATTAGTATTTTATTTGATTATTTCTTTTTTTTTATCAATGGCGGATAGAAAAGTTTATCGGTTTAATTTACGCGTAAAAGAACTTTAACAGATGTAGCTTATCAAAACTGATATGGTCTTTGATCTATTAGGGATAGGATGTATATATGTGTGAGAAAGAGAGAGAGAGAGAGAGAAAGAGAGAGAGAGAGAGAGAAAGAGAGAGATGTTCGATCAAATGTTGGATAACCTACTAACTTTGATTACACCTTATTCGCGTCCCTTCTTGATTACCTTTAATTTAGATCGATTCATACGAATAAATTGACCTGTGTCATATTTTATTAAATTTTTGTTTTTTATTTTTTTATTTAAAGGTTAGGTCACATAATTCTTTCATAAACTTTGCAAGTATAAATTTACGGGAGGGCTTATCTTTTGATGTATAAACAAATCGTTTAGAAGATTCATTAATTTTCTCATTCACCTTGATCATTCTTCTTCTTTTTCTCTCTGTCTCTTCTTATTTAATCAAAAGAAAGAAACAAGTGGTAGGTTAACCTCTTTCCCCAGCCCTCCTTGAGCTTACTCTGTTGCTGCTGCCGCTGTTGCTTCTGCCCCTCGCAACACCCCCACTTTATCACACATACACACACACTCTCTCTTTCTTTCTCTCTCTTTCTCTCTCACTCACTCTTTCTTGTTAGTTGACCCGCTAAAATAGACAAAGCTTTATTCCCGGCCAAAGTCACAGAGAGATATTAACAGTCTTCAATCTCCACACGTAGTTGGTAGTTCGTCGTCGGTTCGACAAGTTTAATATCGATTTGTTAATCGACCTGGTTCTCTCTTCAATCGATTAGTGTCCAATCTTTTCCCCTTAATTCAATTTTCATTTATTTTTATCTCTTTCTATCTCCTTTTTTCTTTGATCATTCTTTTAAATCGTTTAATCCTCTAATAGTGCAAACTTTTAAAAACATACTTTGAAAAGTATTAAAATGATATAAAGTATATGCAAAATATTATAATCATTAACGAACAAGTGATACAATATCTTGTACAAATTTTGATATAATACTTGATACAAAATACGAACAATATAACAAAACAAAAAAATATTTGATAGTTATGTTTTAAAAAAATTTTTTTTTATAGAAATGTTGGTAATATTGATGATGATCATTTTGAATATGTACGTAATATCTTATTTTCGATTAATCGAAAATAGTAGTTAATTTTGAAAGATGGCGACGTCATGATTACGTCATATATTTTTATTTGACACTCGCGTCGACATCCCTCGTCTCGGTTATTATTAATTATAATAAAAAAAAGGAAAACATTTCATTGGCGCCAGAGAGATATGCCACAATATGACGAATCCTTTCTCGATTCGCCTATCTTCAGACGACGCATACGAACATATTCCGTACAAAAGAAAACCTCGAAATCAAGATCGTTCAAGAATAATACGTCTGTACCTTTATTATTGGCCGTGACCGATCTCAATAACGACTTCTCTCGCTCGTTTTCAGTCTGCAGTACGAAAGGTAATTCTAAATTTAACTTATTCGAATGTATAACTGAATTTTTTTTTTCTTTTTTTTTTTTATACAATTAACTCATAACTCGTGACATTTTAATGAGAAAAAGAACGTACGTTGATCTTAAATCAATCGACATTATGGCTCCTTATTAACTACGTGAATCAAAAACTTACTAAAAGCGCTAACATAAAAAAAAATACACACGGTTAGATAAACGAAAACAAAAATTTGATCTTAATATTAATTACGTTGATCTTAAATCAATTGACATTATGGTTTTTTATTAACTACGTTAACATAAAAAAAACACACACACAAACGGTTAGATAAACGAATACAATAATATAATAATCAATGATTATAATAATACTACGATTAAAATGATAATTAAATTAACAACTTTAAATTAATTATATAATGTTATGAAAAAAAAAGAAAAAACAAATTACACGCGTTATTAAATAGATATTTTTAGATTTATTATTATTTACGAATGCGCGAATCACAAAAGTATATGAATAATAATATCGATGATCAAAAATATATCGATAAATACGAACACTAATTAAAATAACAACGATGAATAATAAGCACCGAAATAACACAATGATTATAATATTATTATCATAAATTGTAGAAAAATGTATATGGGTTTTAGAAAAATATCATTTCTCTTATCTTGGAATAACAAACGGCAACTTGTATTTAGCCTTATAGCCGAACTATCGTCACGCTTTTAAAAGCATCGGATGACAGACACAAAATAGGCGTGGTGTATGTGTCGGAGATGTACTACTACCTATATGTGCGAAGAAGAAATAAAGAAATAAATAAAGAAATAAAGAAAGAAGAAAACATATAAAGAAGCTGAGTAGCATGAGAGAAAGTGAAAGAGAGAGAGAGAAAAAAGAAAGAATGAACGAGCGAGAGTGATGAGTGAGAGCGAGTGCGAGTGAGAAAGAAGAGTTGGTGGTAGATATTAGTGTTGGTTATTGGGCGGGAAGGGTGAGGGTGGGGGAAGGAGTATACCGAACGAAGGGTGACGAGTCCGGAGTCAAGCTAGTTAAGCAGTCGATGCGCACACGCCTTACGGGCCGGACGTTTCTTGTCTTCTATTTCCCTCCTCGGTCACGTGATTTTGATATTTTTTGTTGTATTTTATTTTCTTTTTCTATCATCGTATCACTGTTTATCGTATCACTTACTTTCGTATGCAGGAAAATCCTGTGGGTTTTCTCAACCAAGAGTGAGTGTTATTTAGTTTTATATTACTAGTTGTAAAGTATTTTATTTTTTGGGTTGTTTCTTTCCTTATAAAAATAATTGTGTGGTAAGATTTTTTAAAATAATTTGTATCGATTGCACGATTATTTGAATTTTTTTAAAAATAATTATTTGAATAGTATTTAATATCGAATATATATTTGTTTTACTTTAAGAATAATTTTATCATTTATAATCGTGTTTTTATTTTTAGTTTCTTATTGGTATTTATAATAATGAAATTAATAGTTTTTCAAGGATCGATATTATTTATTCGCATTCCGTTTGGTACGTGACGTGATTACCACATCATCTTTGAGGATGACTCAGATTCTTAAAGTTATACTTTAAGCATACCACTCATTTTTATTCTTCCGTTTTTTTAATTTATCTTTTATGAAAAATGATATTCCATCCACGAGATATTTCATTCTATTCTTTTTTTTTTCTTTTTTTCCTTACTGTAAATGAATTTTTAAATTAGCGTTGGATGAGTAAAGAAGAAAATGGATTTGTAAAAAGAAAAATATCGTGGATTTTTTCCAATAATATTCAATAATTAATGTTTATTATATTAAATATCGTTTAAAGATCGATTACGCATGTTAATGAATATATAATTTTATTCAAACGTTATTCTCCTCTTCGTTCTGGTATTTTATAGTATTTCATCGTATTTTCGACTCTCCTTCCAGCCATCCGACACTAAATTTAGTTCCTTGTCCGAAGACGCGCACCATCTTGGAATAATCCTCTTTCGGTATTTAAGCTATTTCGAAAACGTTTTCGTAGATATTATACTTTCTTCAGTTATTTCTTCATTTCTTTGTTTCATTATATATCCAATAAAAAGTTAATCAAATTGTACGTTTTAATCTTTTGTATATATCTAATCAAATTACATTTCTAATTATAAGATTTAGAAAAGGTCATTTTTGAAACCTTAATAAACAACATACTATTTTTAAACTTATCAATTTATTTAAAGATTTATTTCTATTAAAATTAATTCTTTGTGTAATTTTTAATGATAATGTTTAGAATACACATAATTAAAATCTTATTAGAAAAAATATTATTTCTAATACGCAGAATAATTTGTTCGAAGCTTTATTTCTACTAAAATTAATTCTTTGTATAATTTTTCATGATAACATATTTGTAATACTATTAATACAATGTAATATTACATAAATACTGTACTAATGCACAGAATAATTTATTCAAAGCTTTATTTTTACTAAAATTAATTCTTTATGTAACTTTTAATGATAATATTTGTGATACCATTAATACAATGTAATATTACATAAATACTGTACTAATGCACAGAATAATTTATTCAAAGCTTTATTTTTACTAAAATTAATTCTTTATGTAACTTTTAATGATAATATATTTGTGATACTAATAATACAGTGTAATATTACATAAATACTGTACTAATACGTAGAACTATTTTAAGTGTAGCACAATTAATTCGGTATTTTTTTTAAACAAATTTAATATTTATTTATAAAGTAATCTTACATATTTTATTCGAAATAGTTTCTATTATTATTATTATTATTATTATTATTATTATTATTATTATTAATTACTTTGGTTCACACATCTTCCAAACAATTGTCGAAATTTTTGACGTAAATGAATTTTGATTCAATGCATTTAATATCAAAGAACATAATTAATTTCTACATTTTAAAATAATAGGTTAACAAATTAAATATAAATAAAAATATCTCATTAATTATCTTAAATCAAATAGAACGTAAAAAATATGCTCATACGTTGAAATTCTTATCAAAGTATAGTTATATCAAGAGTATAGTTTTTAAAGTTTTTAAAAGCCTAATTAATTTCTACATTTAAAAATAATAGGTTAACAAATTAAATATAAATAAAAATATCTTTATTAATTATCCTGAATCAAATAGGGGATAAAAAACATGGTGCATACGTTGAAATTGATAAATATAATTTTTAAAGTTTTTAAAATTTCTTTATGTTTCTGTAATAATATATATGTATATATACATTTATAATATATAACCAAACACACACAATTATGAATATATTCTAATTAATAATTTAAATTTAATTATATATTGTTCTCCTGAATTAATTGCTTTATCTATTACTATGATTATATATGTGTTATTACTGCATGTGTTATTATACATGTGTTATTATACATGTGTTATTATTTCATATTGCACTTGAGATGCAATAAAATATTTATATGTATATCTAATTATAATGTTAATAATAATTATCACATATAGGAAAAGTAATTTGCGTCATCAAAATTACATCCATTTTTATCGTTTCATTTACACACTTTGTTCGTTGCGACTGCATGTTTGTTTTTATGATTAAAAGAGAAAGATTGTATAAAAACTCTGTTTCGTTGTTAGTATGAGTGTATTAATTAATATAAAATTATTTTGACCGGATGAATTTGATTTATTAATGACAATTGTGAAAATGATATGAGAATCTAACGATTTATTTCTAGTAGACATAGGTAATAGAAAAAAAAAAAAAGAAATTAAAGGTGATATCTTAATGTTAAAATGTGAAATCTAGTAATTTATGAAGTAACTATACCCGACCAGTTTACTCTCATACTTTATATATTAGTAAACTAGTATATTTATCTCATAATACCAGTTTATTACTTTAATTTATCTACTTTGCATATATTTCATATATGTATGAATTCATGAGTAGTTGTAAAATATGAAATATAAATGCAATTTGTAAATTATATCCGATAAAACAGTATAATACTAATAAAACATTTATTTTTAAAGTACAGGAAGAAATAAGAACGGGTTATAACTATGAATATCTTTATAAAAAATAAAACCACACATTAAAAATGGATTAAATTTCACTTTCATACTTTTATACTTTGTATATTGTACACATATCTCGTGAATTTAAATATTGTCTAGTTATTTTATAAAATAATTAGTTAAAGTTTATAATAAAATCCTTTTTTTTAATAATATTCTTAAATTGTTTAATTATTTAACGTATTATCTGATTATTTCATATATATAACTTCAATTATACATTTTAACGTTATATTACGGTATATTATCGTTAAAATGTATAATTTATATATATATATATATATATTATATTATAGTATTTATACAGATTAA